TTCATTTTTATTCGAATCATCATAGTAAAGTTAAACAGGGAGTATTTTTAGGAATGTTTCTACGAGCTTTGAGGGTATGCAGCCTGAGTTTTTTTATGAAGAGATTGCTAAATATATGAATTGGGAAGAGTTTTACAATATCCTAAGAGGTTTTTGGATTTCTCGTTTGAACAAGCCAAGCGTAAGTTTTATAATCACGTCCCTAAGGCGAAACCAGAAATTATTAACTCATTGGTGGTACCTTATGAGAGTGAACTTGAAAAATTGTCTCTGATTTTTAAGAAACTTAATATAAATTTGGTGTTCACTAATAGTACGATCAAATCCAATTTAATAAAAAACTCCCCTGATACAGCAGGTTGTGTGAATTCGATTCCCTGCAATGATTGTGATTCTGTGTACCTTGGACAAACAGGAAAGTCCTTACAATTGCGGTTGTCACAACATGCTTATAGTATTAGAACTGCCCAAACGACTAATGCATTGTATCTACATACGAGTTTATGCGATCACAATATTAACTGGAATGGGGCAAAAAGCATTACCAATTGTGGGGATTTCGTGGAACGGAATTTAATTGAGTCTGCTCTAAGCAGTGTCCAAATCTTCTTAATGTTAGTACTGGAATGTACAAACTTGATCCATTGTTAAGTTATAATATTGCACAACAGTTTAAGAAAAAACTTTGATAGAGAGGCTTAGAATGTCTCATTATAATTTTATATTCATATATTGTGTGTTCATGAGGCTTTTCTTTAATCTTTCATCCTTATTCTCTGACTGCTTAATCCTCTTTGACCATTCTAAGCTAAGCTTTACCTGTTTCTTGGTTAATTCTTTCCCTAGGGATGGGTTGGTCAGGTGTCGGCCTATATATCCTCCCCCTTCCCTTCTCCTTAGTCAGTCTGGTGTTGACAAAGGCTTTAACAAGCCGAAACGTTCACCTCATTTCATATTTCTTTGTGGATTTTCCGCATATATATATATATATATATATATATATATATATATATATATATATATATATATATATATATATATATATATATATATATATATATATAAATGTTTGTTTGTTCAAAATCGATTATCTCCAAAAGTACTTCACCGATTGCTTTGAAATTTTCATACAACATTCCATTCGCATTCGAACAGGTTTTTATATACATGTGTTTTTCATGCGAGGGAAATCTTCGAAACCTCTTTACCGATTGCTTTGAAATTTTGACACAACGTTGCATTCGAATAGGCACATCTTTTTTATATACCTACTATATAGATGAAAACCCCTGCCCTGTGACAGGTAAAAACATACGTTTTTGAAAAACAGCGCCATCTGTTGCACATAATGGCATCATGCACGCTATACTAAATATATCACGAATTCCATTTCAATGTTTCCGATTTCATTGATAAATTTTATTTTCATACATTTCGATTTATTTTATTTTATAGTGAATTATTTTGTGTGACATTGTGTTGGAATTGAGCTGTGTTGTTTACCATACCGTTTATTTTGTAAGTATAAGTATAGATGCCACACCTGTGACAGGTAAAACTATGCTGTTCTTGAAAAACAGCGCCATCTGTTGCATGTAAGAGCAACATACATGCTATACTAGATATGTTATAATTGAATTTCAATGGTTCTGATTGAATTCATAAATTTAATTTTCCAAGATTTTGATTTATTTTCTTTTTGATTTAATTATTTTGTGTGAATTACGTTGGAATTGAGCTGTGTTGTTTACCATACCGTTCATTTCGTGAGAATAGTTTATTTTTATATTTTTTCATATTTTCATATCATTTTTTTAACTGTTTTTAATATATTTCAGTGATAGGAATATCAGATCACTTGATTATCCCAATTTTCTGATGGGAACATCAGACCATTTGGGAAGGTATCGGACGAGGGAGTGGGGAATTGTGGGGATGACGAGGGGACAGAAGTGAGAGATGGTGGGGAGGAGGAGGGGCCAAGGGAGGAGGTAATGTTTGGGAAGGACGAAGGGGCGGGGGAGTTTGGTATGGTGGGGACGAGGGGATGGGGGAATGGAGAATGGTGGGGAGGACAAAGAGACCGGAGAGTGGGGCATGGAGGGAGGACATAGGGACAGGGAAGTGGGGCATGGTGGGAAGGAAGAGGGGATGGTGGAGTGGGGAATAGTGGGGAGGACGAGGGGATGGTGGAGTGGGGAGGACGAGGGGATGGGTGAAAGGGGAATAGTGGGGAGGACTGGGGGACAGAGAAGGTTGCTGTGGCTCAGCAATACACATGCGTTGCTGAGGCCTCTGTGTGTGTTGAGGGGGTGGGGGTTGAGCAGTGAAGGGGGGGGGGGGGGGTGTAGAGGGTGGGGGATGGGTGCGAGAGATGAGGGAGAGTTAACTAGACCGCTAAGCGCTGGGAACGCGCTAAGAGACACAATACTCCGCTCAGGAACCGCCTGGCTGACGGTGGCAGCGTCGGGGTCACGGAGAAATCGTGATGGCGGGGAGGACCGCGTGCAGCCCGGCACTGCTGCTGCTACTCCTGCCGCGGCCACTGTTGCTGCTACTGCTGCTGTGGCCACTGTTGCTGCTGCTGCGGCCACTGTTGCTGCTACTCCTGCCGCGGCCACTGCGACTGTTGGCGTCAGTATTGCTCCTGCGGGTCGCCGTTGCTTGGAGTGGCACACTCTTCTCCTCAAGGCAACTTTGCTGTAAGTGGGAAGTGGTGAGGTGCAGCGCTGTACAAGGTGGAGGAGACCTGTCTAACACCCAGGAAGCAGGCAGCACCCTTGAAATAATTCAGACGCAGACTCACACGCAGACAGACGCGCAGACTCTGATACAGACATTTGTTGCTGACAGCGTCCTGAAACCTTCCTACTGCAAGTTTCACCCCAAAACTCTGGCCAATAATGAAAGTGGAGCCGAGCAGCGCACAGTAACGCCACTCATCACACTTGGAGAGCGAGTCCCGCCGCGCCGGAAACTTCCACATCACTCCAGCCGAAAATTTTCAACTAAAACAAAAAAGTTCCTTGTTTGTACACACTTGTGGGTTGTGTACTTGTGTGTTCCGTGGGCTGTCTCTGGTGCTACCTACGTCACAACTACAGGAACCTCTAGTTGTAAACTCCTTCTCATATCCCTGCTACTTGTCCTCATATCCCAGCTCCTTGTCCTCATACCCCAGCTCCTTGTCCTCATATCCCAGCTCCTTGTCCTCATATCCCAGCTCCTTGTCCTCATATCCCAGCTCCTTGTCCTCATATCCCAGCTCCTTGTCCTCATATCCCAGCTCCTTGTCCTCATATCCCAGCTCCTTGTCCTCATATCCCAGCTCCTTGTCCTCATATCCCAGCTCCTTGTCCTCATATCCCAGCTCCTTGTCCTCATACCCCAGCTCCTTGTCCTCATATCCCAGCTCCTTGTCCTCATATCCCAGCTCCTTGTCCTCATATCCCAGCTCCTTGTCCTCATATTCCTTCCAAGAGGTAAATAGACATTGGTTTATTGCTCATTAGTAATACTTTATACTGAGGGTGTGACGTTCCTGTGACGTAGTACAGTGTGACGCCAGTGACGTAGTACAGTGTGACGCTAGTGACGTTTTACAGTGTGACGTAGTACAGTGTGACGCTAGTGACGTTTTACAGTGTGACGTAGTACAGTGTGACGCTCCTGTGACGTTGTACAGTGTGACGTAGTACAGTGTGACGCTATTGACGTTGTACAGTGTGACGCTCCTGTGACGTAGTACAGTGTGACGCTAGTGACGTAGTACAGTGTGACGCTAGTGACGTTTTACAGTGTGACGCTCCTGTGACGTTGTACAGTGTGACGCTAGTGACGTAGTACAGTGTGACGCTCCTGTGACGTTGTACAGTGTGACGTTGTACAGTGTGACGCAACAGTGACGAAGTACAGTGTGACGCAACAGTGACGTAGTACAATGTGACGCAACAGTGACGAAGTACAGTGTGACGCAACAGTGACGAAGTACAGTGTGACGCAACAGTGACGTAGTACAGTGTGACGCTAGTGACGTTGTACAGTGTGACGTAGTACAGTGTGACGCTCCTGTGACGTTGTACAGTGTGACGCAACAGTGACGTAGTACAGTGTGACGCAACAGTGACGAAGTACAGTGTGACGCTAGTGACGTTGTACAGTGTGACGTAGTACAGTGTGACGTAGTACAGTGTGACGCTCCTGTGACGTAGTACAGTGTGACGCAACAGTGACGAAGTACAGTGTGACGCAACAGTGACGAAGTACAGTGTGACGCTAGTGACGTTGTACAGTGTGACGCTAGTGATGTAGTACAGTGTGACGCAACAGTGACGTAGTACAGTGTGACGCTAGTGACGTAGTACAGTGTGACGCTAGTGACGTAGTACAGTGTGACGCAACAGTGACGTAGTACAGTGTGACGCAACAGTGACGTAGTAGAGTGTGACGCAACAGTGACGTAGTACAGTGTGACGCAACATTGACGTAGTACAGTGTGACGCAACAGTGACGTAGTACAGTGTGACGCAACAGTGACGTAGTACAGTGTGACGCAACAGTGACGTTGTACAGTGTGACGCTAGTGACGTACAACTGTAATGAACTAAAGTGTGACGCAACAGTGACGTGATAAAAGGTGACACGTTTGCTTGTTAACGCAGTGTGACGTTGTTACGTCATGCGAGTGTGTGAGGAGGGGTTGCTACCTGAAGTGTGACGTTGATGCTCCCTAAGTCAATGTTAGCGACGGCTCTGTTGCTCGAGCGGTGTTGCTGTTCCTCGAGCGGTGTTGCTGCTGCATATTGCATGGAGAATTACGTTACTTTCTTTTAAGGTATTACTACGTTACTGCTACTTGAGGCAGTCTGCCACTGCTGCTACTTGAGGCAGTGTGCCACTGCTGCTACTTGAGGCAGACCTGTGGCCGTAACACAAGACAACAGAGGCTCATCTTGGCCTCTGCAGTAGACTGCTACTAGTGGCCAGTGGTGTGGAGAGCGATGGCGTTCCACTTGACGGCAGTGTTGACGGCGGTGTTGACAGCAGTGTTGACGGTGGTGTTGACGGGGGTGCCGGGGGCTCAGGCCGGCACCAGGTGGATACCAGCAGCACCCAGGAGAAGAATATCAGGTGAGCTTCAAGTTACTGTGCTAGGACTGAATCCTCTCTACAGCTAGTGGCGGGGCACTCCTGACAGCTTATGAGGGTCTAACTATATTAGCGGGTGTGGGGAGAGAGAGAATGAGAGAGAAAGAGAGAGAGAAAGAGAGAGAGAAAGAGAGAGAGAAAGAGAGAGAGAAAGAGAGAGAGAAAGAGAGAGAGAAAGAGAGAGAGAAAGAGAGAGAGAAAGAGAGAGAGAAAGAGAGAGAGAAAGAGAGAGAGAAAGAGAGAGAGAAAGAGAGAGAGAAAGAGAGAGAGAAAGAGAGAGAGAAAGAGAGAGAGAAAGAGAGAGAGAGAGAGAGAGAGAGAGAGAGAGAGAGAGAGAGAGAGAGAGAGAGAGAGAGAGAGAGAGAGAGAGAGAGAGAGTGGATGAATGGACAATATTAATAGGGTATTAAAAGTATCAACACAAGACAGAACACGAAACAATGGGTATAAATTTGATAAGTTTTGATTTAAGAACATAACTGCAGAAGGCCTATTGGCCCATACGAGGCAGCTCCTATCTATAACCACCCAATCCCACTCATATACTTGTCCAACCCGCGCTTGAAACAATCGAGGGACCCCACCTCCACCACGTTACGCGGCAATTGGTTCCACAAATCAATAACCCTGTTACCGATCCAGTATTTACCCAAGTCTTTCCTAAATTTAAACGTATCCAATTTATACCCATTGTTTCGTGTTGTCTTGTGTTGATACTTTTAATACCCTATTAATATCCCCTTTGTTATGTCCATTCATCCACTTGTAAACCTCTATCATGTCACCCCTAACTCTTCGCCTTTCCAGTGAATGTAGTTTAAGTTTTGTTAATCTTTCTTCATATGAAAGATTTCTAATTTGGGGAATTAACTTAGTCATCCTACGCTGGACACGTTCAAGTGAATTTATATCCATTCTATAATACGGCGACCAAAACTGAACTGCATAATCTAAATGGGGCCTAACCAGAGCAAGATATAGCTGAAGAACCACACCAGGTGTCTTGTTACTAACGCTTCGATTAATAAATCCCAGTGTCCTATTTGCCTTATTACGAACATTCATGCATTGATCCTTTTGTTTTAAATTCCTACTAATCATAACTCCCAGATCCCTTTCGCAATCTCAACACCATCTAGCTCGTATCTTGTAACTCTATCATCATTACCTAGCCTCAAAACTTTACATTTATCAGCATTAAACTGCATCTGCCAATCTTTTGACCATTTCAAAACCCTATTTTGATCAACTTGAAGTGATAGTGAGTCTTCTTCTGTGTTAATTTCCCTCCCGATTTTTGTATCATCGGCAAATTTGCAAATGTTGCTACTCAAACCTGAATTTAAATCATTTATATATATTATAAACAACAGAGGTCCCAGGACAGAGCCCTGAGGTACTCCACTAACAACATTATCCCACTCTGACTTAACCCCATTTATACTAACTCTCTGTTTCCTTTGGAATAGCCATGCCCTAATCCAACTTAATATAGCACCCCCAATACCATGAGCCTCTATTTTTTTAATCAGTTACCTTTGTTCTTATGTTCTTATGACAGTGTTGATGACGATATGACAGTACTCACCTAATTGTGCTTGCGGGGGTTGAGCTCTGGCTCTTTGGACCCGCCTCTCAACCGTCAATCAATTGATGTACAGGTTCCTGAGCCTACTGGGCTCTGTCATATCTACATTTGAAACTGTGTATGGCGTCAGCCTGCACCACATCACTGCCTAATGCATTCCACCTGTTAACTACTCTGATACTGAAAAAGTTCTTTCTAACGTCCCTGTTGCTCATTTGAGTACTCAGTTTCCACCTGTGTCCCCTTTTTCGCGTACCAACCGTGTTAAAAAGTTTATCTTTATCTACCCTGTCAATTCCTCTGAGAATTTTGTAGGTAGTGATCATGTCTCCCCCTTTATTCTTCTGTCTTCTAGTGTCGTGAGGTGCATTTCCCGCAGCCTTTCCTCGTAACTGATGCCTCTTAGTTCTGGAACTAGCCTAGTGGCATATCTCTGAACACTTTCTAGCTTCGCCTTTTGCTTGACAAGGTACGGGCTCCATGCTGGGGCTGCATACTCCATACCATACTCCACTCTGACATATGTGGTATACAAGGTTCTGAATGATTCCTTACGCAGGTTCCTGAGGGCAATTCTGATGTTAGCCAGCCTCGCATACGCCGCAGATGTTATTCTTTTGATGTGGGCTTCAGGAGACAGGGTTGGTGTGATATCAACTCTTAGATCCTTCTCTCTGTCCGTTTCATGAAGGAATACAGCTCCCATTCTGTATCCTGGGTCTGGCCTCCTGTTTCCACTGCCTAGTGTCATTACCTTACATTTACTTGGGTTGAACTTTAGTAGCCATTTGTTGGACCATTCATGCAGTCTGTCTAGGTCATCTTATAGTCTCATACTGTCTTCCTCCGTCTTAATCCTTCTCATAATTTTTGCATCATCAGCAAATAATGAGAGGAATGATTCTATACCATCTGGAAGATCATTTACATATATAAGAAACAGTATTGGTCCAAAGACTGAACCCTGCGGGACTCTGACACTGGTGACGTCTTGTCAATCTGAGACCTCACCCCTCACAGTGACTCGCTGCCTTCTGTTACTTAGGTACTCCCTTATCCAAAGGAGTACCTCCCCTTTTACTCTTGCCTGCATCTCCAACTTTCGCACTAGTCTCTGGTGTGGCACTGTGTCAAAGGCTTTCTGGCAATCCAAAAATATGCAGTCTGCCCCACCCCTCTCTTGCTTGTCTGATGCTTGTTACCTGATCGTAGAATTCAATTAACCCTGTGAGGCATGACTTGCCGTCCCTGAAACCATGTTGGTGTTGTGACACAAAGTTCTTTCGCTCCAGATGTTCCACTAGTTTTTTCGCACAATTTTCTCCATTAGCTTGCATAGTATGCAGGTTACTGACCACTGTAGTTCAGTGCCTCCTGTCTATCCCCCCTTCTTGTATATCGGGACTACATTTGCAGCCTTCCAAATTTCTGGTAGTTCATCTGTTACACAGTGTTGATGACGATATGACAGTGTTGTTAGTGTTGATGACTACATGGTAGTGATAATTCTCAGTGTTGATGGCCGCTCGGTAGTGGTAATGATAAAGTTTGAAACAAGAAAGGCAGAGAGGTTGCTCATCATAGGATGAAAGTGAGAACATATAGATGAGTCAGTGATGAACATGACACAATGGATATGACAAAGATCAACTCACAAAAATACTGATTATTGAGACACAGATTCAAGAGATTGAGTCGCCAGCAGCGGCCACAAGTCATCGACATCCGGACGTCCGTTGTTGTCTAAACCGGAATACCCAGCGTTCACTGGCAGCCGGCAGACAATATCCAGCGTTCACTGGCAGCCGGCAGACAATACCCAGCGTTCACTGGCAGCCGGCAGACAATACCCAGCGTTCACTGGCAGCCGGCAGACAATACCCAGCGTTCACTGGCAGCCGGCAGACAATACCCAGCGTTCACTGGCAGCCGGCAGACAATATCCAGCGTTCACTGGCAGCCGGCAGACAATATCCAGCGTTCACTGGCAGCCGGCAGACAATACCCAGCGTTCACTGGCAGCCGGCAGACAATATCCAGCGTTCACTGGCAGCCGGCAGACATTACCCAGCGTTCACTGGCAGCCGGCAGACATTACCCAGCGTTCACTGGCAGCCGGCAGACAATACCCAGCGTTCACTGGCAGCCGGCAGACAATATCCAGCGTTCACTGGCAGCCGGCAGACAATACCCAGCGTTCACTGGCAGCCGGCAGACAATACCCAGCGTTCACTGGCAGCCGGCAGACATTACCCAGCGTTCACTGGCAGCCGGCAGACATTACCCAGCGTTCACTGGCAGCCGGCAGACAATACCCAGCGTTCACTGGCAGCCGGCAGACATTACCCAGCGTTCACTGGCAGCCGGCAGACAATACCCAGCGTTCACTGGCAGCCGGCAGACAATACCCAGCGTTCACTGGCAGCCGGCAGACATTACCCAGCGTTCACTGGCAGCCGGCAGACATTACCCAGCGTTCACTGGCAGCCGGCAGACATTATCCAGCGTTCTCTGGCAGCCGGCAGACATTACCCAGCGTTCACTGGCAGCCGGCAGACATTACCCAGCGTTCACTGGCAGCCGGCAGACAATACCCAGCGTTCACTGGCAGCCGGCAGACATTACCCAGCGTTCACTGGCAGCCGGCAGACAATACCCAGCGTTCACTGGCAGCCGGCAGACAATATCCAGCGTTCACTGGCAGCCGGCAGACAATATCCAGCGTTCACTGGCAGCCGGCAGACAATACCCAGCGTTCACTGGCAGCCGGCAGACAATACCCAGCGTTCACTGGCAGCCGGCAGACAATACCCAGCGTTCACTGGCAGCCGGCAGACATTACCCAGCGTTCACTGGCAGCCGGCAGACAATACCCAGCGTTCACTGGCAGCCGGCAGACATTACCCAGCGTTCACTGGCAGCCGGCAGACAATACCCAGCGTTCACTGGCAGCCGGCAGACAATACCCAGCGTTCACTGGCAGCCGGCAGACAATACCCAGCCTTCACTGGCAGCCGGCAGACAATACCCAGCGTTCACTGGCAGCCGGCAGACATTACCCAGCGTTCACTGGCAGCCGGCAGACATTACCCAGCGTTCACTGGCAGCCGACAGACAATACCCAGCGTTCACTGGCAGCCGGCAGACATTACCCAGCGTTCACTGGCAGCCGGCAGACAATACCCAGCGTTCACTGGCAGCCGGCAGACAATACCCAGCCTTCACTGGCAGCCGGCAGACAATACCCAGCGTTCACTGGCAGCCGGCAGACATTACCCAGCGTTCACTGGCAGCCGGCAGACAATACCCAGCGTTCACTGGCAGCCGGCAGACAATACCCAGCGTTCACTGGCAGCCGGCAGACATTACCCAGCGTTCACTGGCAGCCGGCAGA